CTGTCTCTCATTCTCAATTCTCACCTCTCTCTATTTTTCGGAAATTTTTTTATTTCCTCGCCAAGAGGATTAATTTTCCTATTTCTTTCTTGCTCTCTCTATATTGTTTGCAATTTTTTATATTACCATCTTTACCTATGTTAATTTACTTTATTATTTTTATTTTTTCATCCCTCACCCAATTTTTTTTACTTCCTTGCTCTCAGTCTGTCAGCCTGTGTGTCTCTGTCTCTGTCTGTCTGTCTGTCGGTCTCTCTCTCTCTCTCTCTCTCTCTCTCTCACACACTCTCAATTCTGTCTATTTTCTCCAATTTCTTTCTTCCATCATTTTCTTCATTCTCTTTCCTCTCTCTGTTTCTTGCTTTTTCTCGTTTTATTCTGTTATCGTCTTTTCCTACGTTAATTTTCTCTATTATTATTTTTTTCATCCCTTACTTAATATTTTTGTCCTTCTTACTCTCGGTTTCTCTCTCTCATTCTCTCATTCTCAATTCTCACCTCTCCCTATTTTTCGGCAATGTTTTTATTTCCTCGTCAAGAGGATTAATTTTCCTATTTCTTTCTTGCTCTCTCTATATTGTTTGCAATTTTTTATATTACCATCTTTTCATATGTTCATTTTCTTTATTATTCTTATTTTTTCATCCCTCGCCCAATTTTTTTTACTTCCTTGCTCTCAGTCTGTCTGCCTGTGTGTCTCTGTCTCTGTCTGTCTGTCTGTCTATCTGTCTGTCTCTCTCTCACTCTCTCTCTCTCTCTCTCTCTCTCTCTCACTCACTCACTTCTGTCTATTTTCTCCAATTTCTTTCTAACATCATTTTCTTCATTCTCTTTCCTCTCTCTGTTTCTTGCTTTTTCTCGTTTTATTCTGTTATCGTCTTTTCCTACCTTAATTTTCTCTATTATTATTTTTTTCATCCCTTACTTAATCTTTTTGTCCTTCTTGCTCTCGGTTTCTCTCTCTCATTCTCAATTCTCACCTCTCTCTATTTTTCGGCAATTTTTTATTTCCTCGCCAAAGAGGATTAATTTTCCTATTTCTTTCTTGTTCTCTCTATATTGTTTGCAATTTTTTATATTACCATCTTTTCCTACGTTAATTTTCTCTATTATTATTTTTTTCATCCCTTCCTAAATCTTTTTGTCCTTCTTGCTCTCTCCATATTGTTTGCAATTTTTTATATTACCATCTTTTCCTATGTTAATTTTTTTTATTCTTATTTTTTCATCCTTCACCCATTTTTTTACTTCCTTGCTCTCAGTCTGTCTGTCTGTCTGTCTGTCTGTCTGTCTGTCTGTCTGTCTGTCTGTCTGTCTGTCTCTCTCTCTCTCTCTCTCTCTCTCTCTCTCTCTCTCTCTCTTCTCTTTCTCTCTTCTCTCTCTATGTATCTATCTATCTACTATTTCTACCTCTATCTCTATCTCTCTTAATTCTATCTATGTTTCACCAATCTCTTTCTGCCATAATTTTCCTCTCTCTCGCTTTCTTTCTTGTTCTCTCTATATAGTTTGCGATTTTTTTCAGTTACCATCTTTTCTTACATTAATTTTCTCTGTTTCTTATTTTTTCATCTCTCATACTATCTTTTTGATCTTCTTGCTTTCTGCTTGTCTGCTTCTCTATCTCTCTCGTCCTCTAACGCTCATTCCTTCCTTCTTTTACAGTTTTGCCCATAACTGTAATAGATCTAGATATATTTTTTTCTACTCTTCTCAAGTATATGGAAAATCCGTTATTTTTGACCTCCGGCCGCCGGAATGATTTTCCCCCTCGTATTGAAAAGAGACTTCAGACGTCGGATTAAGCGGTAAGTTTTAATGGTCTCATTCTGGTCGGAATGCTCAGAAAGCTTATCAATGATCTCTTCGGGGAGAACAAAGAGTTCCCACAGTGCCCGTATCAAAAGAACCTCCTGACGTCGGGCGAAAATGACCGAATGGATTTCACAATGGAGACGGGCATTAATCTAAATTATGTCGAAGCCGTATAAAAGTGTAACGGCGACTGGGAGACAAGGAGCTATAAATCTCGGCTAATAATATCAAAAACGGCAGTTAAAATTAACCACAACCCCCTAATCACACGGGCCAATGGGTCAGAAAGGGCCCTCCCTTGCTCGCTTCCCCAGCCGACGAGGGCCACTTAATTTCATTTCTATTCCCACTAATAAAAGTCACTTTGCCGTTTTTTTTTTCTCTCTCTTATTCTATTATTTATTCGTCGCATCGCATTGATTAGGCGAACCGGTTTTTAAACAGTAGACTGTAATTTGTTATAGATGCCGAAGAGTGGGACACACTCGATGCCAAATGGCCCGTATCTGTGACAAATCCCCCCCCCTCCGGAACGCATTTCTTTATAACTTTTGAACTGTGAATATTCATATTCAACTTACAAACCCTTCAGTACTGACTTTTTTATGCATTTGTTAGTTTTCAACTTTAACTGTAGACTCGGACTCGCTGAGCCCTTAGATACCGTGAATGAACACCAACTTTAAAAAGCACATATGACATACCTAGTCCTGCCATAAGTTCTGTTACAAGAAAAAGGGCCATTAGGGAATAGAGAAACAGAAACCTGATAATTTGAAAAAGAAATTTATTTTAAAAAATCCAATATTTTTTAAAGATTTTTTTTTACAAAAATAGCCGTTTCTTCCAAAATTCGGACTCAAAGATTTAAATATTCGCCTTGGTCAAGTATGATTCTCATCTTAGTTTCATGTTTGCGGATATTTTGACCAAATTTCATGAAGATTGATACAGGGAATCAATTTGAAGTATAAACAGGCCAATGTCTATAACTAGCAACCGAGGCTTCAATTTGTATAAATCGAAAAATAAGTTATTTTTGACGAGTTTTTTTAGACTTTTGATATGACCNGTGAAAAAAGGGCCAGAGGCGACGGTGGGAATCGAACCCACGACCGCGGCGTGAGAGTCTCTCATGCTAACCACTCGGCTACCGCGGTCCCCCAGTTTAAGCTTTTATTCTTCGGGGCCAATCATCTATGGCAGTACGCAACGTCTTGAGGAAATTTCTCAACTGCTTTTAGCAGAGCGGACTTGAGGCTCTCTAAATTGGCGAGTTTCCTGTGGCAAGCCATAAGCTCAAGATGGGACCACACCTTGTAGTCCAGAGGATTCAAATCCCCACTTGGTGTGGTGGAGAGTTTGCTACGATGGCACCACAAAACTCCATTTTTGTGAGCAAGGAGTCAAAACAAGGGCGAAAAATTACCAAGAAGACATCCTTGAGAAAGTAGTAAAGCCCTTAAGTACTACTCTTTTCCGGAACTCATTGGGTCTTCCAACAGGACTCAGCTCCTGCGCACAAGGCCCGAACAACTCAGCAGTGGCTGGAGGAGAATGTTCCGGAATTCATTAACGCTTCAGATTGGCCCTCGGGAAGCACAGATTTGAATCCTCTGGACTACAAGGTGTGCTCCCTGTTTCCCGCCATCTTCAGTGGTTGCTGTTGATGGCGTGACAGAGCAAAAGCCTGCCTAAATTGATCGGAAACGACCACACTTCAAGTCCCTTAACCTGCAGACCCCATGGAAGAATCTCACAACAGAAACCTCATATTTCATGACTTTAAATCAGTTTTATATGGATTTACCTACTTCAAATTCTACTGATGATTTACTTGCACTTTTTTTAGTCAGCAGTGTAGCGATCCTGCAGTTGGTCGATTTCCTAGTAGGTCTGTCACACGCGGCTTCTCGCCATCTTCAGAACTTGTTGCTTTTTTTTTACAAAACGCGGACGAACTGAAAAGATGGCGTGGAACAGAAACACGTCAGGAAAGATAAATCAGCGTGGGTAGGCAGACCAAAATGTTCGGAAACTACCAAAATTCATGTCCATCACCCTGCAGAACCTTGCGAGGGATATCGCAAGATCCAAATCTTCAGATTTCATAAAACTAGATGGGTTTTCGTGTACTTTCTTACTACAAATTCTTCTGTTGTTTTCTTTGAACTTTAATCTTGTATTGTATGAATCCTTTTTTAAGGTTTACAGGGTGATGAACCTGTAGTTTGGTCGGTTTCCTCCAAGATCTGTCTCGTGGGTTTCGTCTTTTCGCCTTCTTCAGAGTTTGGTTCTTCTTTATAAAACACGCGGACTGGAAAAATGACGTGGAACAGAAAAACGTCAGAAAAGAGAAATCAGCGAGGGTTGTGCATATCAAAATGAACGGAAACGACGAAACTTCAAGTCCATCACCCTGCACAACTTTGCGAGGATCACAAGAACCAAATCCTCAGATTTCATAGTTTGAAATCCTTTTTTGTGGCCGTGCCTAATCCAAATTTTTCTACCGATTTCTTTGAACTTTCTTTTTCAAATGTATGATTTTATTTTGAGATCTGCACGATGATGAATGGAAGTTTGGATTTTTCCGATCGTTACTTCTGTTGGTTTATATTATTATTTTAAAGGAAGCATGAGTTGCAAGATGCGGACCGTCTACTGAAGATGGGAAGAATCCGAAACAGGTCTGAAGTATTGTAGCAAAATAGCGAGCTGACAAAAATTATCTGACACGATGATCAGAGATTGGTCTTTTGTTTTTTGTTTTTTTGTGTCTCATCATCTTCAGCGCAGATTACTAATGACAAAACGCGTGTACCAATTACTGAAAATGTCGTGAATATAAAACCTTTCTGACAGAAAACGTAGCTGACTGAAATGACCCAAAACGACCGAATATGATAACATAACAAAACTATATTCATGACTTTTTCGATTCGGCGATGATTGGGTGAGGGTTTAGCTATTGACAAATTTGTACCAGGCCTGTCACTTTGGTCAATATGGTCAGATGTTCATAGATGATTAATCATGAGCCTCGATCATTGATCTTTGTAGGCATTATGCAAGAGATAAGATACATTAAGTTAGAAATATATTTCTTATTTAAAAATGAATTAAGGCAAACTAGGTTTTCATTTTAGTTCTTAACTGAATTACATGATTGATGTGTGTTTCAGGACAAAATGGAAGAGGCAGACGGCGGTTGGATTGGAGATCCTGGCCGAGTCGAACAACCTTATGGCCTTCCAGCGACTTTACGGAGGTCCGCCGTACGGCGTTTGGCCCTACCCGGGAGGCGGCGCACCCCCTGCTGACCTCTACTACAGGCAGGCAGCGGCAGCAGCTGCAGCGGCCGCGACCCTCCAGAAGCCCCTGGCGTACAGGCTGTATCCAGGTGTGGCCGGTCCAAGTTCGGCGTTGCCCCCGGGCGCTCTGCCTCCTCTTTCGACTTACTACCAGCCGCCGCCTCCGAGGTCGCCGACACCGCCTCCCTCGCCTCCCGACAGCCGGCCGGACTCGGTCGACATCGAGGAATCCGCCCCCGACTCACCCCAGATTCAAGTCTAGTGACTCAAAACGTAAAACTGTACATTTATGAGTGTGCCAATACCCTTGTACAATGTTATCACCAGTGTATTTGTAATTTATTTCTGCACTTTTTTAGCTATAGATGTGTACAGTGACACTATGGTGTTTCCCATTTTTCTCCCCCCCCCCAAAAAAAATACAAATAATAATTAAAAAACAAAGCTTTTTCTTTTATTTTATAAAAATAAAGAAAAGACAAATCTCTTCTTCGGACGCACTTGTGAATCTTGTATAATTTGTAAATATTTTTGTCCGATAGTCGATGAATGGTTTGAGTGATGGCAGTATTATTAGTTTAAGTGTTCGAAAAAGAAAATAAATAATAAAATACGTGTATACCTTTATAGCAAAGCTTTGTATATAGACTATTGTACTTAACTCACCCTCTGCGGTTGTCGATATAATTTAAAAATAAGGATAAATAATTATAAAAATAATTTAAATCTGTGTAGTACTATCTATTATCCTCTCATGTATTTGTATATATTATCGTAGATGGCTGTAATTATTGTTTCATTAAAAATTTAGTACAAATTTAATACAAATGTCTATTTTATTTTCACACTTTTTAAACGACCTGTGAACAAATTTTTCTTCTGTTTCGGATTAGCCATAAAATCACAAATAAATATGTATATTGTAAATTTACAAAAGGTAAATTTATAAATGTATATGTAAATTTATAAAAAAAAACATTTCAAAGGCCCTCGCAAGATCTGACGCGAAGAAGAGATTAAGTGTAGGCCACGTGTGACTGACACACGGACAGTTTTTTTGGACATCCCGCGAAAGTTTCCGGGAAGTAGAAAAAGATTGCTCCATCCGTCCCACTTAATTCATTCTTAAGCCAATTCCTTGGCTCTACATAAAGAGCGTGTAGTACTGTCAACCGATATGAGAATCGCACTTCAACAAGACGAATATTAAAATCTTTGATTCAGATTTTTGGAAGAAACTGGGCAATTTTTGTATATAATTGAGATAAATATCTTTTTATGTGCTGCCTTGAATGTTTATTGAGATTAAATGTATTTATTAGCGTGAATGTTCGGGAGGGCCGTGCGAGAGTGATTCATACGCTATACGAGGTTGGTACTAGATTCCAAGTTTTAAGTCAAAGCAGGTGAATGTGTCTGGGAAGTAAAAAAAGGTTGCTCGATGTGTCCCACTTAATTAAAGATTGTTGGTTCCATATAGAGAGCGTGTAGAAATTTTAACCGATATGAGAATCGTACTTGACCAAGGCGAATATTTAAATCTTTGATTACGATTTTTGGAAGAAACTGGGCAATTTTTGTATATAATTCAGATAAATATCTTTTTATGTGCTCCCTTGTATGTTTATTGGGATTACATGTATTTATTAGCGTGAATGTTTGGGAGGGCCGAGCTAGAGTGATTCATAGGCTATACGAGGTTGGTACATAGATTCTAACTTTTAAGTCAAAGCAGGTGAATGTGTCTGGGAAGTAAAAAAGGGTTGCTCGATGAGTCCAACTTAATTAAAGATTGTTGGCTCCATATAGAGAGAGTGTAGTAATTTCAACCGATATGAGAATCGTACGAGCAAGGCGAATATTTAAATCGTTGATTCCGATTTTTGGAAGAAACTGGGCAATTTTTGTATATAATTCAGATAAATACCTTTTTATGTGTTCCCTTGTATGCTTATTGAGTTGAAAGGTATTTATTAGCGTGAATGTTTCATAGACTATACGAGGTAGGCTATACGATACATAGATAGTACCTTTTGGGCCAAAGCACGTGAATGTGTCTGGGAAGTAAAAAAAGGTTGCTCGATGTGTCCCACTTAATTAAAGATTGTTGGCTCAATATAGAGAGCGTGTAGTACTGTCAACCGATATGAAAATCGTACTTGAGCAAGGCGAATATTTAAATCTTTTATTCCGATTTTTGGAAGAAACAAGGCTATTTTTGTATATAATACAGATAAATATCTTCTTTATGTGGGGACCGTGGTAGCCGAGTGGTTAGCATGAGAGACTCTCACGCCGCGGTCGTGGGTTCGATTCCCACCGTCGCCTCTGGCCCTTTTTTCACAATAACCCCCCCAAATTTGAACACTCATATACGAATTGTCACATGGCTAATATGCATAGGTCATAACGCCAAAAAAAAAAAATCTTCTTTAGGTGCTCCCTTGTATGTTTATTGGGACTAAATGTATTTATTAGCGTGAATGTTCGGGAAAGCCGAGCGAGAGTGATTCATAGGCTATACGAGATTGGTACATAGATTCTAACTTTTAAGTCAAAGCAGGTGAATGTGTCTGGGAAGTAAAAAAAGGTTCCCCGATGTGTCCCACTTAATTAAAGATTGTTGGCTCAATATAGAGAGCGTGTAGTAATGTCAACCGATATGAGAATCATACTTGACCAAGGCGAATATTTAAATCTTTGAGTCCGAATTTTGGAAGAAACGGCTATTTTTGTATATAATTCAGATAAATATCTTTTTATGTGCTCCCTTGTATGCTTATTGAGATCAAATGTATTTATTAGCGTGAATGTTTCATAGGCTGTACGAGATAGGCTATACGATACATAGATACTACCTTTTGGGCCAAAGCACGTGAATGTGTCTGGGAAGTAAAAAAAGGTTGCTCGATGTGTCCCACATAATTAAAGATTGTTGGCTCCATTTAGAGAGCGTGTAGTAATGTCAATCGATATGAGACTCATACTTGAGCAAGGCGAATATTTAAATCTTTAAATCTTGAGTCTGACTTTTGGAAAGAACAGGGCAATTTTTGTATATATTACAGATAAATATCTCGTTTATGTGCTTCCTTGAATGTTTATTGAGATTAAATGTATTTATTAGCGTGAATGTTCGGGAGGGCCGAGCGAGAGTGATCCGTAGGCTATAGTAGGATGGCACACAGACACCTATTTTTGGATTAAATCCCGGGTGTGTCCAGCATGACTAGTCATGACGAGAAAGGTTAGTCCATCTACTCCACTTAATTACAGGCTGTCATTCATATAGAGAGCGTGTAATAATACCACCCAATTATGATAATTATGCTTTAACAGGGCCAGTATTGGGGGTCTGATTTTTTTCAGGAAAAAGGCCTTATTGTATATATCTCGTTTTTATATTCTTTTTTGAGTTTAGTTAGATTGAATGTATTTATTAGCCTGATGGTGGAACATTGATTATTGGTGGTATGATAATAGGAAAGACTGTATTTAAGAATGAGAAGTGTGAACCTGTCTAGGTTCAAAATAAGTTTATGTTAGAAACCTTGGCACTTCGTCGTAATTAATTATAAGAGTTTTTTTTTTTGCAAAAAGATCCAAATATTTTCTAAACATTCTCAAAAAGGAAGTTGAAATTGTTTTTCAATTAAAAATACCGAAGATTCACTTCCACGCAAGGAAAATAAATTGGGCCCCAATTAAGACAAGTTTTGGCTCATATCTGCACTCCAATTTCATACCCGGCTGCTTTCTATATCGTGCGTAAGGATAACTGTTCTTTTCCGCTGTTATTAATTCCACTTTGTTTTCTTGTAAATTTTCGTGCTGTCAGAAGGACCAAGACAATATTAAAGAAATTTCATGAAATAAACTTTTTTAGAGATTTAGTACAACCAAGTAATTGGAGCATTCTACCCCATTCGAAGAGGCTGTTCGGCAAGGCAACATCCCTGATCCCATTCTCTATTCAGTATACACCGTACACCTCTATCAATCTTATACAATACTCCTCAATTTATTCAGACGATACTGCAATCCTTTCAGAAACCTCCAGGGCCACTTTTCTGTTTGGAAGTGTGGTTCAAGAAATGAAGGATCATACTCGACGAAACGAAAATAGTGCAAACAACCTTCACCCTTTGCCTTATCACATCTTCTGTCTTTTTTGATCTGCTACGACTCTACTCGCCCAGTACACATCTTCTATTTGGGATTTTAGTTCGGCAAACGTCTTCGGGACAACAGATCGAAACACTGCGAAACGCCAGCATACACACCATAGGGAATATGGGGTTAAAAAGCCGTTCCACTTGTAAACACTCCAGCATAAATTCCTTCGAACCATTGCTCGACTACTCTACTACTATTCAGATGGACCTTATTTCATCAAGGCCCTGTCAGACATTGAGGAAAATTTTTTCTTGTTTGGGTATCATACAGGAGTTTAGGAAGGCCGACAAATTGGACAAGGAAATCTGGAAGTGGACACCTATCGACTAAACCTATTTGAGAGTCAAAAAATGGATTTAAAAAAGCCTCGGCTCATTTCCAAGACATCGGCATTCAAAAAGGTTCGTCACAATACGATCGCAGAAACTAACCACAGGACTATTAAACCAAGAATGATAATGCAACCTGACAGTACATTGCAGATTGCAGAAGCATATCTTTTAGACTCCGAGCAGCAGAAACAGCCTGTGTATATTCTGTGTAATAAGAAACAGCGGGCTATTCCTATTAGTGCGAAGTCCTATCCAGGATGAGATTCTTAATCCTGGAAAAGGAAAAGGAAAAGCAAAGGCTAAGCCGTTAAACGGTAAGTTGAAAGCCTTGGTGACATATGCTTCCCGTATACTCGGTCGTCCTAAAAAGGAAAATGAGGATCTTTATCGTCCACACCTTCGGCCTTATCGGACGTTTTGATTCCCAAGATGTGAGTTGTCGCACCTTCGCATACGGCAGAAGAGTGTTACTGTACAGGTAGCTCAGCCCCGAGGTTGCTCCCCGCTTGCCCATTCCGAGTGGTCAGGTCCGCATTAAGCATCGGACCGTATGCCGCGCGCAAAGGGCTACCTAAGCCGAAATACATCAGCCTGGTCTCCCGCGCACTACCTAGGTAGAGAAGGCCACTACCTCCCAGAGTAGTAGGGCTTTCCTAGCGTAGAAACTACCGGATCCGCTCGGCCGCGGTTTTGTTTAAAGTGGAATTGCTAACCAACCCCTAGAGTAGACCGCCAACGGTAAAAGCCTCCAATCCAGCTCAGCTTACACCTGCGTGCAAAGCATACTTGAATAGGAGCAACCGATTCTCTACTCGTTCCCGTCCGCCACTACTCACGCATTCCAGGGACTTTTCAGCTTAATCATAGCGTCCTCAACGCTTATACGCTGCCGTCCGATCCACCGTATCGTGA